AGGAAATAGCCCCCCCTGTGAGTTCCGGCGGGTTCCTACAGCTGTCTCTTATACACATCTAGATGTGTATAAGAGACAGACATCACACACACATTCAACGAAATGTGTAGTCTTGAACTACGAATCAATTCGCACATGCTCTCGCGCAGTGCATCGTCGGAAAAGGTGAGGAGGCGCTTTAAAACATTACTCCCTCCTACAGCAGCAAACAGCCCCCCCCCCCCCCCCCGGTGAGTTCCGGCGGGTTCTTAGGGAGGGCCGCGATGAGAGGCCGAAACGGCGGGCCAAGTCTCGCAATTTGACAGCGGAAACTTTGACGATTTTTCACGCTTAGAAAAATTCACTGAAAATTCTGAAAATTCGGGGGTTCGTAGATTTGCTCGTGGTCCTTCTAGGAAAAATATCAACAATATTTAAAAAAAAAATTAGACCTCCAATTAACCGTCGCGTCGATTTGGGGGACGTTCGAGTTCTGCTACAATGCCATTTGCGGGCCAACAGGGAAAGTTGTACAACTTCAGTGGTTTTTCGCACCCCAAAGAATGCGTCACAGACCTTTAAAATTGGAGGGTTAGTAGATTTGCTCGTGATCTTTTCATTGATTTTTTTTCTTTTAATTGATAATCATTCGGACCACGAAGTAAGTCGTGGACATGATTCGACATATTTTTAATTATGCCCTGCTGGCGGTTCTCCAGTCTGTACCACGGGCAGCCCTAATGAACCTGTGTTACCATTTTCTTGACGTCGGACGTTATGGTGGTTTAAGCGGGGTAGAAATGAATGCCAGCAAAGATGGAGGAGCGAATTTCACCATTGGCAAGACATGAGACAAAGAACAATCTTTTTCACGATGTATCTTTTTTTTTCGATAAGACAGAAGGTAATCATTGCAGCAAAATATCATTTTTTGCGAACTTGCATACATGATCCGTCTTCCGGTGACAACACAGAAGGTAACAATTTTGGGCAATCATCCATTTCGGCGAATGCTGCATATCGATCCTTGCGACAAACAAGGTCGAAGCACAGGGGTCAAACACACACACATTCTGGCGATAACACAGTTGATGATCATTTCTGGTGAA